CCTCATGGGCTCTCATTTCCTAGAGACAGAAATTTATTAATTAAAATTGGCATTTTTCTGAAATACTTACACTGCACATTAGCCTCACACTTGACCACATCCCCCTCCCCACACCAGACATTACAAACATCCCCTTAAAACCCATAATGCCTTTTTCTTTGATTTTTTTGGCCATTTTATATAATATTTCTGGTTATATGTTGTCCAAATTTGTCTAACAAGTACTAAAATGATTGCTATTAATTTCAGTTTTACATATATGCACAGTTGGTGTTTCTGTTCTATATAATTATAAGAAGTTAAAGTTAGTTTTAATTTTTTTTAAATATTAATTATAATAATATGTAATAAATACACCCTTGGGCATATATAAGATAGAAATTTTTTAACTGAATTTTTAAGTTTAATGGTTCGACTTAAACCTTAAGTGTTTAGGTGAGGTTGTCAGAGTTTTGAGCTCCATCACCGTCGTGAACTCCACCAAAAAGCGGCCTAATGGTCGCGCACCTCATTTAAGGAGGTGGAATGTTCACCGGTCTGAAAACTAATTGCTAACAATTAATTCCTAATAACTTCCTAACTAATACCTTAAAAAAAAAATTCAAAATTTCCACATATATATATATATATATATATACCTACATATATAATTGAAGTAAAGTAGAGACGTCCTTTTCAGGTAGATTTTGGCCAATTAAGAGTCTTTAATTTGTAGCTGCTGCAGGCTTTTATAACAGTGATATTAGTTGTGGGGAAAATTATTTTGGTTCAGGCTAGGGGAGAGAAAGGGCTTGCAATTGAGATCTTAATTGATGAACAAATTAAGAGAGCGTACCCCGTCATTGTACGTTCATGTGTTTTCCTCTTGTATTTTTCTTGACAAGTCCTCTTGTATTTAAGTGTTGGGGGTCCAGCTTACTCATCTGTATTGCATGAACATTAATTTGCCAGAACTTCCCCGTCCACAGAATAAAGGCAACCAATACACAAATAATTAAAGAATTTTTTAGTTTGTAGGTTTAGGACATAGATTAAGAATTTTTTTTTAATAAATTTATATAAAAAAATATAAAAGTAAATATTAATTTTAATATTATTGTTACATAAATAAATTTAATTAAATAATTAATAAATTAAATATTATTTTTTATTCTTTCAAGACATTTAACCTGTCTCCCTAGAAAAATCCTTAATTAAAAGTTATACAATTTTTTTTAGCACAATTGCTTGCATATATAATTAGTTTAATCAAATTTATTAGCTAGGAGGAAGTAATCAGGTGCTGCAGATTAGTCAAATTTTAAATATGCACATGTAATGACGTACACACAAAAAAGAGAGGATACTTTACTAACATAGAGTGGGGGGTTTTTAACCAACAAAAATTTGGTTGAATTGATAATTATTAATTTAAATTTTTTAATTAAAAATAAAATTAAAAATTTAAAAATTTATATTATTAAATAACTAACTATCTAATATATTAAATAATAATAATAATAATAAGAGTTTTAATGACACTCTACTAATATAGAGAGTTTTAATAACACTCTACCAATATAAAGAGTAAATTTTAAGAAGGTAACTCAATACGTCGGGTGTGAAGTTTAAATAAGATACATATTAATTAAAATATAAAATTTTAAATATACTTAAAAATATATATATTTTTTATGGGAGCAATATCTGAACTACTACAGTAATCCCTTTTGTTTTTGCTATTTTTGAAGCAATGAGTAGACAGGGAGGTCGGAGACAAGCAGCAACCA